CGATTTTTGAATTGATAATTCTACTCAACATTCTTTGTAGTTGAATAGAATTTTCATTCGTAATATTTGTAATTAACCTCATACAATTTGATGATTTCCTTCTGTAATGAAATTTGCTCATCCAAAAAATCCATGTCTTCGTCTAAATGTTTGGTGTCTTCTTCTGTTAGTGTGGTCTTTTTTTTAGCATCTCAATGTTTTCGGTTCTTGATTTTTTGATGATGTCTAATTTTTTCAATTCGTGTTTTGCTATTCTGTATTGTATCTCAAACAGTTCGTCATGAACGGTCATATATTATAATCTGTACATTTTTCAAAACTTTTAAAACTTTTGCTCATAAATAGATGTCGTCCTCCTTCTTGATTTCGTAATATTCCATCGTTGTTGGTTTTGGATTTGCAATTTCTCCGTTGTTTAATTTTGTAAAATACGATTTTCTTTTGTTTTGGTATGTTGTGTCTTTTGTTTTTGTTGTGTTGCTTGAAACTGTTGTAAATAGTTTGTTATGTATCGATTCTATTTTCTTATCTATGTTTTCCAATGTGTTGTTGATGTCGTTAAGTGTGTCATCCAAACTTTCCGCCATATAAAATACTAAACATTAAGGTATTTTTAAAGTTTTGTTATTAAAACTGTTCCTTATCACTTGCCGCGCAGTTGCATTTCTTACAGTATGCTATGCAGTTGCTTATGGTATGTGTTTGCTCGGTGTCTTTTCTTTGTGCTGTTAGATTTGTTGTTATGTTCCCGCTTTTGAACTTAACGTAAAATTCTACACTACATTTTTCACAGAAACTGTTTAACCTATCCAAAAGCCACTGGGCGGTTATGTAGTTCTTACGGTCTATTTTTCTTTTACCTGCCCTGTTCTGTTCCTTGTAGTTCTGCACCTTACGCTCTAAATAGTTAAAGATACACCGTTTATGAAATATAGTATCTTTATTATCATCATACCTGTAAAACATGACCTTATTTAAATCGGTGGCTCTCGTGATTGCCGTCCAGAGCCACTCCTTAGAAATGTTAAAATGATGATAATCAAAGATTGTTATACCCGTGTCTATACTGGAACCCTGCACGCTGTGGCAGGTATAGCAATAACTGAATATGAAGTGCTTCCTTAAAACATCAATGGGTAAGGTTTGTATGTGTCCTTCGTGCTCCTCTTTAGTTTCACCTTATCGCCGTTAATCTCAGCAACTATGTGTCGGAAATTAACTTGAAATGTATATGTAGTTGTTTTCAGATACTCCCTACATATGACCACCTCGCCTATGTCATATTCGTTTTTGCCGTTTTGGCGCGTCCTTATTTCGTTGCTGACCTCCTTTCACGTATCGTTTAAGTATGTCATGTTGTTGTTATTTGTTTGTATATCGTCAGTGTATTTAAAGTATTTGTCTATTAACTCTTTCGTCTTCACCTTGTTTATAAATATGTCGTCTTATATGTTTGATAATTTGTCTTTGTCCTCCTGACTTTTTAACCGTTTGCACTCTCGCAGATAGATATGGCATTTGAATATCTTGTTTATACAGTTGTTGGCATACACTTCGTGGTCGTGTAGGTTGGTTATTTCGCTTACTGGCTTTAATTGTTTGCCGTCTCCGGTTGCCACCACGATTAAATCCTTGTGGCTTCCACGAGCTTCCTAATTTTATTCAAAGCCCTCAACCCATTAAAGTAAATCTCATCAAACACTATACAGTCATAATTCGAGTAGTCGAACTTTTCTAACTTTTCGTCGCCGACCGCTATGGAAAAGAATTTGTTAATTGTCGTGGCATCCTTTCCGTATTTTTTGAACCAGTTTGTTGGTCGGGCACACGAACAGCACCTTTAAACCTAAGTCCCTGACTTTTTCACATATGAAACTTTTACCAGAACCAGCATATTTAGCCCTAATCATCACATGCTTTACTGAAAAAATCTTCTCTATAATTTTTGTTGTGTCGTATTCGTCCTGTATATCTATCCTATTGTTTATATACACGGGCGTTTTCGTAAGAAGATTCTCTTTTATGTGGTAGTCCTCACCGGGCATAATTATATCCTCATCGTTTTTATTTACCCTCCACTAACTTATGCACTTTGTAGATGCCCCCGATTTAATGCCCAGTGCTTCTTTTGCCTTGGGCAGGTCTTCGGTGTTTATAACAAATGCATCGGTTTTGACACTATAAGGTTTAACACCACATTTAAGTAATCTGTTATAGCACTGATACATATTAAAGTTATGCTGTTGCAGTAGCAGTTCCTTTATATACACAAACCCATTTACCAACTTCGCTTTATCGGATATATTCACTATGTAGTATGTCTCCCCTTCCGCTATTTCGTTCCACTCGGTGCATTCGTCATCGTCCATTTCATAAAAATTCACCTCTTCTTCTGTCAGTTTGTGTATCTTCCCCCCGTATTTCTGTTGAAAATCCGATGCCTCGTTTAAGTTTCTAAACAGTATGCTTTTTTGGTCAGTGCTGTTTGTTCTTTCTAAAAATCCGAAATTCACCACTGCCACCTGCTTTTTAATTGCCATATCCTCCTCGTCGTTTTCACTAATTTTCTTGTCCCATAATTCCCCGACTATGTCCTTGTAATTCACCGAGTGCTTAAACGAAAGCTGCTTATAACTTATGATTTTGATTTCTGACGTGTCCAACTGTTTTACATACAGACCGTATAAGAGACCAAACTTCTTGTTTAACATTATTTCGTTTTTCTCGCCCGAGTACTGGATATAATACAGTGTATAATCGTGCATTTTGTTAAAATCCATTGTTTCCGTATATGGTTGCCACAAGTCGAACTGATTAAAACCGAATGCCTCAACAATATCTATGAACGATTTAGTAAATGCTTTGGACATATCCAGTTCCACTTTCGGCATCGTATCTGAAAACTTATGTGATACAAACATACCCACGGGCACTATGGTTTTAGCCTCTTCGTATATATCTATGTCCGCTTGGTTATAAAACGATTTATGAAGTGGATTAAACAAAGACTTATTAAAAACAAACATTGCTTTATTCATATTGTTATAGGTTTCTTCATTGTCTATTCTCATACATCCGTCCGCCGAGGTTTTTATTCAATTCTGGGTTTTGACTATAAAGGTGGTTTTCTTCAATTTCATCCGTATCTCTGACACTATACCCGCTTGAAAACGGATTTTTGGTTCATACCCCGCGCCCAGCATTTGAAACAATATTTTTGTTAGGTTGTTGTCCTCGGGCACTAAGTATTTAGTGATAGGTTCTTTATCCTTGCTGACCAGTTTTAACATTTCGTAAGCATCACTAATCATTGTAAATTGTGGCGGTTCTTCCTTTTCGTTTATGTGATAATCCGTTGTGGCCTTGACTACGGGCTTTTTGCCTACATTGCCCAGTTTCTGCTGTATGCTTTTCAGGTCGTTGTTCATAGTGTAGATGTGGCTGTTTTTCACAACGGCATAGAAACGTTTGAGTTTTTTGTTTGCCTCTTCTGGCTCGTGTCTGTATATGAGGTTTTCGCAGCAGTCGAATATTCGGGCAGGAATTCGGTAATGCTTAAAGACTTTATCCATTTCATTAATGGTTGCCCCATTGCTGTAAAAATCGTTCCTACCTATGATTTCTACAACTCTTTCCCTTGTTAGTCTGTCTCTTCTTTTATCGTTCATAAGACTGTCTGTATAAAAATCGCTCAGGGCACTAACCCAACATTGATTATCGACGTGTTCGTTGTTGCTTATTGCTCCCTTAAGTTGAAAAAGTTATGATTAACAGGGGTGCTGACATAGCGATGATATATAGATATGTGGCTAATGTCGGTTAAACTCTCATCCATAATGTTAAGCTTCTCGCCTTTCTTATTGATTGTCTCGACTTGTTGTATTTGAATCGCGTCGAATAGATTCTCATTATAACCATAATGCTTTAAAAACTCCACTAATCCATCAAAGTCGTTGTCTTTTGAAAGCAGTTCTATTATTTCTTTGAATTCTGGTGTTTCATTATTGGGGTTTGGGTGTCTAAAATCCTCTTCTTTTTCAAACCTAAAAATCACTTTTTTAACCAGTCCTTCATCAAAGTTTTTGGCCTTGACGGTCGCCTGTCTTATGTCAATTTTTTCGATGTAAAGATTTAATCCAAGTCTTTTAAAAGCGGGTTTCAACTTTTCATTTTTTGGTTTCCTTGTGGTGTAGAGTTGGAAGTTTATTAGGTATGTGTTTTGGCTTTTGGTTTCTGCCAGTCTTTCGTTCAAAGGTTTTTCCTTCTTAATGTTGGGTATGGTGTCCTTGTATTGCTTGAATGCTTTTTCATAGGTTCTCTTGTTCTTAGAGGTGAGGCCTTTTATCAAATTTTCGGCGGTTGCTATGTTCCCGATTTTACGTTCTTGGTATAACTTGATGATTTCATTAATTC